AAACAAGACCCATGCCTCACACCATCTACCAAAAACAAACTCCACATGGATCAAAGACCTCAGTGTAAAATCTAGAACTCTAAAGATCATCAGTGAAAACATAGGGACAAACTTAGGGCTCTAGCAATTACTAAAAACACACAAATAGCAGAAGACAAAATAGATGACTGGAACCTCCTAAACATTTGACACTAATGTGCATCAAAAGATTTTGCCAAAAGAGTCAAAAGGAAGTCAACATACTGCGGGGGGTGAGGGGGGTGGAGGGGGGAATCAGACAAGGGACTTATCTCTAAAATTTATAGAAAACGACACCTCTACAAGAAAAAGACAACCCAATTAAATAATGGCCACAGGGCATGAACAGACACTTCACCAAAGAAGACCTACAGGTTTCCAATCATTAGCCATTGTTGTTGATAAGTGCCATCTAGTTGGGATCTGACTCATAGCGACCCTATACAGAATTTCCAAGGAGCAGTTGGTGAGTTGGAACTGTCAGCCTTAATGGCCCAAACCGACATTGCAGTTTACCACATTAACCAGCAGCGCCACCGTTAGCCATTAGAGAGATGCAAATCAAAACAACAGTGAGATATTATCTCATGCCAGTATTAATAGCAAAGTTAAAAAAAAAAAAAAAAAAAAAAAACCAAGCCGGCAAAGGTAACGAAAAGACTAGGACCCTCCTACATTGCTGGTGGTGGGACTGTAAAATGGTTCAACCACTCTGGAAAACAGTATGGCACATCCTCAAAAAGTTGGAAATAGAAATACTGTTATGACCCAGCAATACCTCTACTTGGTATATATCCACAAGAAATAAGAGCCAGGACACAAGTAGATATATGCACACCAATGTTCATCCTACCAATATTCATAATAGTTAAGAGATGGAGACAGTTTAAATGCCCATCAATGGAAGCGCGGATAAACAAACGTTGGTACATACACACAATGGAATTCTCTATAGCATTGAAGAATAGTACTGAATCTGTGAAACACCTCATAACATGGATGAACCTCAAGGACATGATGCTGAGTGAAATATGTCAATCACCAAAGAACAAATATTATATGAGACCACTGTTGTAAAAACTCAAGAAAGGGTTTTCATACTAAAAGAAAATCTTTGAATGGTTACCAGGAGCAGGAGGGAAGGGAGTGTAATAAGGACAGACACATGCTAACGTCCTATGACTGGGAAGGTAATATACAAGAACAGGGAGCGCAAAGCACAAGAGGGAAGTTGGCAGAAGAATAAATAAAGGTAGTTGAAGACACAGGGAGATGTGCAAACGTTAAAGGGGATAGAGGTAAATAGTGATAGACGCACAACCTTGAAGCAACAATGTTCTTTCTGTAGATGCATGGACACAGGCTGAATGGGTATGGGAGGGAGAATGGGAGATAGATAGATTTCTGTATCTCACAAATACATGAGTTGGAAAGAGGACATTTGAACTGGGTAACCACATGGAAGTGGGACAACTGTTGTGTGGATGGGGATTGCAATTATTGTTGAAACAAAGTATATGATTTGTGGAATGTAGACCTGATGATCTTGTCTAAATATTAATTCACAATAAAAAGCTTAAAAATTATATATATATGGTGGTGGTTATATGCTGTGGAGTCGTTCTGACTCATAGTGACCCTGTAAGGGTTTCTGAGGCTGTAAATCTTTACAGGAGCAGAAAGCCTCATCTTTCTCCCACTGAACACCTTGTAGCTTTGAACTGCTGACCTTGCAGTTCGCAGCCCGATTTGTAACCACATACAGGGTCGCTATGGGTCGGAACCGACTCGAAGGCACTTAACAACAACACAACAACGCTACCAGAGCTCCATATAGATAGAGTTGTTAAGTGCCATTGAGTCAGTTCCAACCATTACAACCCTGTAAAGGGTTTCCAAGGAGCAGCTGGTGAGTTTGAACCGCCGACTTTGGAGTTCAAATGGCTTTGCAGTCTGGCACGTTAACCTACAGCGCCACACCAGAAATATATATATGTTGTTGTTGTTGTTAAATGCCGTGGAGTCGGTTCCGACTCACAGCGACCCTGCACAGGGTTTCCGAGGCTATAAATCTTTACGGGAGTCTTTCTCCCGCGGAACAGCTGGTAGTTTCGAACCGCTGACCTTGAGGTTCACACACACACACACACACACTATCATTTGGGAGAGTCCTGGTGTGGTTAATGTGCCAGACTGCAAAGCCATTTGAACTGCAAGGTCAATGGTTCAAGTTCACCAGCAGCTCCTCAGAAACCCAATACAGGGTTGCTATGGGTGGGAACTGACTCCACAGCACTTAACAACAACATCTTCTGGGAGCACGGTGGCTTTGTAGGATAAGAAGTAGACTGCAAACCGTAAGGACTGCTGTTCAAGCCCACCAGCTGCTCCTCAGGAGAAAGATGAGACTTTCTGCTCCTGTAAACAGGGTTGCTATGAGTCAGAACTGATTTCATGGCACTTAACAACAATATACTATCATTTTTTTTAAAAAAAGGAATATATGCACAACTGTATTTGATTACATAAGTATGACATGTCTTTGGAGGGACTCAAGTAATTCTCAGACCAACCCTTAAAAGGTGGACTGGACTTGGGGATGGAAGGGAGCTTGCTTCCTTTTCATTTTATACTGATTTTTACTTTTTTGGTCCATTAGTAATTTATGAGCTTTGTATACATGTATAGTTCTTAATCTTTTGATGCCATTATTTTATTTTATTGTGATAACATCACACACAAGAAAACATTTTCCAACACAAAACCAGTTTACTTTGTCAATTTTCACGTAAAACACAAGGGGGAAAAAAATCCAGAGCGTTGACATTTACAACTCAGCCACATTGCCCCCATTTTTGGGGCAGATATTTCCCCTGCAGCTCTGATTTCCCAGCGTATGAAATAAATGCTTCTTGGAATCGGTCAGGGATTCCCATTGGCCCCGCCACTCTGCAGAGAGGATTGACTCAGTCTTCTGAGGTGGCCTTGCCTTGGTTTCTCTCTGACCACCCCCAGGACACCTGAAATAGCTGACTAAGTGGGAGATCTGGTGGCAAGCAGCCTCCAACATTTATCCTGCAGGGTGGGTCAGCCAAGTGGATCAGGGCTCGGATCTAGCTTCTCTGCCCTAGTGACACCAGGCACTCAGCCCATAAACTTGTCGCCATGAAATTAATTGTAACGTATAGAGATCCTACACTGGAGATGGAGGGTCCGAGAAATAGAGGAAGACTCCCAATGAGATGGATTGGCCAAGTGGCAGCATCAATGGACTCAAGCGTGGCAACAGTAGTGAGGTTGGCCCAGGATTGGGCTGTGTTTCGTTCTGCTTTGCATAAGGTCACTATGGGTCAGTACCGAGTCGATGGCACATAACAACAAATATAGAGATCCTATGGAACAGGGAACTGCCTCATAGGATTTCTGGGGTTGTAAACCTTTAGCAGACAGCCACAACTTTCTCTCTGGGAGTAGCTGATGGATTTCAGTTAACAGCTTTAGCTACTGCACCACCAGAGCACCTTTTAGATGACACAGATTGTTACAAAATATCTAAATTTGGGCGTTTTTGGAGATTTCCTGGTCTAATCCCTTTTACAGAGAGACTCAAGGTAATTACTGGTAAAGCCAAATCTAGAAGCCAAGTCGCCCACCACCAGCACTGAGAGTTAATGCTGAAGGCATACCGGGCTGCGGAAACTCATTCTTAAAATTCTCCAGCCAATGAGAATCTTCGGTGCCAGCACCTACTTACTTCTGAATGGCTTGGAGGGAAGAAGCTAAACACGCCCCTCCATATACACACATAGTATGTCATAGGGCAGAGAGTATAATCCTGGGCAGAGGGAACAGCAGTGACAAATAGGGAGCCTTTTAACTCTTAGACCCTAAGATTGAGAAGGGACACCCTGGCAGGGTGGGCTGGCTCGGAAAATCTGGCTCTCTTGCCTGTAGTAGAAAGAAGTGAATTCTCGGAACCCAAAGAAATTGTGTCCAGTGTCCAAGAGGAGTCTTAGCTCCTAGCACAGGCGTGGTCTTGTCCAGATAGGTGGCAGTAGCTTCCATTTCCTCCTGGGTCAGGTACCAGCTGCCTGCTGTGGACTCCTTCCCACTGACCTGCCTGCGGTGTGTCAGTGTCGTGGGCAGCTAATGTTTACTCAAGCCCTGCCCTGGGAGATGAAAGAGATAGCCCAGCCTCTCCTTTTCTCTTCCCCATTCTTCCTTCCACCCCCTACCCAAGACATAGCACTCCCCAAACAGGTCTATCCTGAGACACCAGGGAGGGCTCGGGAGGGGTCAGACTGCTCTTGTCACCCAAGAAGGTTGAGTGAGGAATCCATGGTACGTACGCTCATCAAATCAAAATAACTTAATATGTAACGATCTTTATTTCTAAGTACAAAGCCAGATGTAGGCAAAACTAGGAACAACTGGCCAGAGCCCAAGGGGGACAAATAGAAGACTCTTTGGCGTGGTTTCCTGGGACCCCGTGCAGTGTGGTGGGGGGGCTGGGGCCACAGCAGAAGACTTGGCTAGTTGTGAGGTGCATCAGAGGGAACAGCTTTTGGCTCCTCAGAGACTCCCTGGGCTGGGAACTGAGGTGCCATCTGCCTTTGGGGTCCCCAAGAACAAAATGGAATGAGGGAAGGGGCAGAGGGCAGTGGAGGAGTGGAGGGAGACATGAGCCACTTGGGGTTTTTTTTATCGTTTCTGGGGCTGCAAGTGAGTTTTAGGGCAGGGGCTGTGGGTGAATCTAATGTGCTGCTGCGTCCAAAGGCACAGCCCAGTTAGAGAAACAGTCTTGAGCCCTTGGACAGGTAAAGTGGGTCTAAGAATTGAGAGTGTGGGGGCAGGCCCGGGGACCGCAGGGAAGACTAAGAGGAATGCATGTGGATGGACAGGTGCGAGGAATGTTCTCCAGGAGCTGTGCCTTCAACTGTCTCTATTTAGTGTCTAGGGAGCACAGGCATGTGGGGGGCAGCTCAGGCCTCGCCCTCACCTCCACTGCCATCTACACTGGCCTGTCTGACCACTTTCCGGGACCTGGGAGTGGAGGAACAGCCAGCCTCCCATTGGCCCTGCTCCTGCTTCTGGAAGGCCTGGGTCCTGCTGGCCACCAGGGCAGTGCCATGGAGGGCAACCACAGACTGGCGGGATTTCAGGGCAGGCCATGACCCCTTCTGGCCCCGCCGGCCTCCCCGGGCCCCCTTGGTCCTTGATGGCTGAGGGGAGGGCTGTGGAGGATCTTCCTCTGAAGACTCATTGGAAGAAAAAACCTGGATGGAGAGACAACAAGGACATCTTTCAAGGGCAAGGTCTACAAACCATGTTGTTGATAAGTGCCATCAAGTCAGTTCCAACTCATAGTGACCCTGTATAGGGTTTCTGAGGAGTGACTGGTGAGTTGAACTGCCGACCTTGTGGTTAGCAGCCCAATGCTTATCCTACAGCGCCACACCAAGACTCCCTGCAATAGGAACACCAGGAAGGCACACACATTTCTAAACAATCACCCATTTGATATCAAAGGGGCAGCGTTTATCCAAGGACAAAGGTTAGAAAGAGGAAGGGAAATAGGAAACACAGGGAAGAAATGATATTTCACTGTGAGGATTGTAATCAATGACATGAAACAAAACGTGTATGAATCGTTGAATGGAAAATGGCTTGCTGCTCTGGTAGCATAGTGGTTACGAATCGGGCTGCGAACCTTAAGGTCAGTGGTTCGAAACTACCAGCTGCTCTGCGGGAGAAAGATGAGGCTTTCTACTCCCATAAAGATTTACACCCTCGGAAACCCTGTACAGGGTCGCTATGGGTCGGAACCAACTCGACGGCACTTAACAACAACAACAACATATCCCTTCACCCAATTTACAATGAAAAGTTTAAAACATTGCCTGGAGGTAGATCCAATGGATCTAGTTTGAAAAAAAGAGGGGGAGGGGGGCCAGGGGCCGACAGAACCTATCTTACTTATTGTTTGGTCCTAACATCAAACACAGAGCCTGGCAAAAGATAGGCGGGAAACGTTTGTTGAATGAATGCAGAAAAACTGTATTACTCGTAGGACCTACATCTCTAGGAGGGGAGGAGGCCCCATCCCTACTCTCTGGTCCCTCATGTACCTGTTGCTTCTGCTGGCCCCCAGCTCACCTCAATCTCCCTAATGCTGTGCTGCCAATGACCTTGACACAGGGGTCTCCCCGACCCTCTCCTCTTCCTCTTGCCCCTTCTATCTCTGGACTTGGCCCAGTGAGCCACAGATGAAATCTGTTCATGGTGCCAGGCCCTGAACTGGGCTGCGTGTGCCTGTCTGGGTACTGAGTGAAGACTCCCTGCCTGCTTTTGGAACTATCCATACCCATCCCTGTCAGCACCCATCTTTCCCTGTCTTTCCACACCTAGTGCCACCTCCTCCAGGAAGCCTCTCCCATCTCCCTGTCTCCTAGAGCTGCCCACTCCTCCCTCTGGGTCTGCCACATGTGGGACACACCTCCCAAGGCAGGTGTCAGCTTCTAGGTTTTAAACTCAGGCTCTGGGGCCCTTGAGAGGGTGCTCAGCCAGCTGGGTCCTTTGGGCAGGCTGAAACCCGAGGCACCTTGAGTCCTGGCTAAGTCAGCTCAGGAGCCCACTCAGAACAGCTGATCTTTTTCTGGAGTGGTACACGGGATGTGGCCCTTCCTCAGGGACACATGGGAACACCTGAAAGGCCTCGTGCTTCCAGGTGTGGGTGCAAGGGACAGAGGAAGCAGGAGCAGCCCCCAGGAGCCCTCTCAGGGAACCCCACTGCTCAGTCCTGCACCCACCTCAGATGGGTTCCTTCCCCAGCCCCCTCACCTCTGGCAGCTCAGCAGCCCCCGAGGCACTTTCTAGCTCTGATGAAGACTCCAGAAGACTGATGGACCTCATGACCCCACGCAGGTTGATACGAGGCCTCAGAGCACCTGGCTTTTCTCTCAGGGCTGCCTGCTCCTCCTCCAGCCCCACAGCCTTCACCTCCTCACTGCCCCCTGGTTCGGGTGGAAGAGCTGGGAATGGCGCAGAGACTTCTGGGGCCAGAGACTCCTCTGGGGAGACCCTACCCACTTTCTGCTCCCAGATCTGGCTCTGCCGGCTAAGGGGGAGATGGTGACCAAGTCAGCTTGGGTGACCCAGCAGCCAGCCCCCTGCCAGCATGTACCCACACACCCTCGGTTTCCCTGCTCCGCACCTGGCAGTCAGGATACCCTGGTAGGTTTGCAGTTGGCGCAGGAAGCCGGGGTTGGGGCGGGCAATGGGCCGGAGCTCCTGCACATGCCGAAGAGCCTGCTCCAGGCCCCAGCCATACTGCTTCATGGCGTAGGCCATCACTGTGGCAGCTGAGCGGCTGACGCCCATCTTACAGTGCACTAGCACCCGGGTGCCCTGGACCCTGTGGGGGCAGGACGCAGCTGGTTCAACTCCCCTCACCTTAACTGAAGTCCAGGTGGGGTGGGCAGCGGGTGCAGGCAGCCCTGACCTGGCTGTCTCGATGAAGCAGTGCGTCTCTTTCCAGTGGGGCAGCAGCTGGGCTGACTCCTCGTCCCAGATGCGAACGTTGTGGTAGGTGAAGCGCTCAGGGTAGAAGTTGTCAATCTCCCGGGCCATGTTCAGGATGTGGCTGACCCTGTAAAAAAGGGCCCAGGCCAGGCTGATGCGGGCAGGGCTTGGCGGTCTCTGGGCTTTTCTGCTCAGTTCTGCGCTAAGTGTTGGGGGAGAAGCCTCCCAAGGTAGAGTAGGAGGAGATGGAGCTGGCCGTGAGTAAACCAAACCCTATTTCTCACTAGGCTTGTTTCCACCTAGCCCACTCAGCTTTGGGCTGGTCTCTGAACTTTGTTAGAAAATGGACCTGTACGTGTTGGGCAAGAGGTCCACATGGTTTCCCAGAAGCCCACTGTGCACCAATAACAGGTGCCCATCAGGACAGGAAGTGGCTGAGATGAGTTGATGGCAAGTGGCCCTTTTGGATTAGAAAAAAGGGTGACTCGGGCTACTGCATATCACGTCTGTAGGGAGGAAGCTGCTTGGTTCACTCTTGGGTTTCATGGCCTTCAGGCCCACACAAGGGAACAGCCCTGGGCCGACATGGGCCAGGGTTCCTGTTGGGGGGAGGCTGGGAGAAAGGGGACACAGAGGGGCATCCTGAGGGGCTCCTACCTGTTCCTCTGTAGCTCCTCCAGGTTGGCAGCATTCCACTCGGAGCCCTGCAGAGAAGGGGAAGAGAGGCGCCATTCTCCTCTCCTTCCAGCCCCTGGTCATCCCTCTTAGCAATCATCCACCTGACAGGCTGGCCACTCACCAGGTAGAGGTGAGGGAAGATGCGGGAGGCCCGGTCCTGCTGGGCCATGAGCAATAGCATCTGGTTGTCAATAAAGTCACGGTACTGCTGCAGTGGGGAGTTCAAGCGCTGCTCCAGGGCCTGGCGGATCTACAGACAGAGCAGACAGAAGGGGCGAGGGCTCAGCAGCTCACACGGGTCCTGACTTTCCCCTTCCCTGTGGACCTCAGCACCGTGATGTCTGGGAAGGGCCAGAACAGGAGGGGATGGGGGGTCTTGGCCCACCTCCTTGGAAGTGACGCTCTCCAGATCACTTGTGTCCAGCACTTTCCACAGCTCAGCCCGGATTGCCTGCTCCATCTGCTCCTGCTCCGAGGGCCTAGGGGCCAGACTGTCAGGCCGGGGCTCACTCCTAGCCTCCACAGCCCCCAGCCCCAGCCCACCCTGCCCGCCTGCACTGACCGGCCAGGCTCCATGCTGGGAGGTCGCAGAGATTCCAAGTCGGCCATGGCCATCCACTCGTTGAGGCAGCTCTGGTCAGAACTCACTCTCTCCTGGTAGTGGGCGGCCCAGGTGAGGGCACTGCCCCCTGGCACCAGGCCGCTGCCCAGAGCCGCCTCACATGCCTGGTGAAGCACTTGGAGAGTGGCCCTGGGGACAGGAGGAGGGGCTGGGCCATACTGTCCTCCCTGCACTTCCTCCCCTGGCCCTCAGCACCACCTGGCCTGAGTCTAGTCCAACCCCTGCCCAGCCCAGCCTTACCACATGGTCTGAATGGAGATGGGTTTGAAGATGCGGCTCTGCCCACCAGATGTCACACTGAAGCCCCTGTAAAAGCCCAGAGGTCAGAGGCCCACTTCATGAGTGAGCCTACTCTGAGAATAAAGGCTGAGATCCAGAGAAGGAAGCTGACCTGCTGGGATCCCTAAGCAAATCTGACACAGGGTGGAGTGGGCCCCACTCTCTCAGCCTGGGGGTCTACTGCTCCAGTGCCCAAGTCCCTGCCCTCTCTCCCCTTGCCACCTCTTACCCGTCTCCATCCAGGTACACCTGGGTGTCGCTCCAGAGAGGCAAGACGAGGCCCAGAGTACAGCTGAGGGAGCTGGTGGGGGCAGAGGAAAATCATTGTCCTCAGTCCCTCAGTCCCCTGTCTCCTCCCTTCCTCTCCTGGCTCCCACCTGCTGTCAGGAAAGTCTACACCCAGAAGGATCGTCTCATCCGGGCTCAGATGTTCTCTTGTGGATACCACCAGCAGGTAACGGAGCCGAGGGGTACGGGCTGCCTCCAGCTGGGCTGCCTGGAGGAGATGGGGAGGAACAAACTCAGAGTCACAGTCACCCAGAGGACCCTCCTGTCCCCCCTCCCCTGCTCCCAGAAATACACCCGAGCCAAGAACAGATTCCTCCTCCAACAGCTAAACTCCCAGGCCTGCTCACGCCTTCTCTACCCTTTCCCTGCCTTTCAGACATAATTAGGTCTCAGGACACACAAAATTTCTTTTCATAAAGGCAAGAGCATACAGGGACCAAAGTTAGAATAGCTTCTGAGCCATAATCAAACACTTTGAGGGAATGAGTCACTGGCCCTGGAGGCTCAAGACTACAGTCTCAGGAGACACCAAGGTCATTTGGCGTAACACAGCCCACAGAAACAATGTTCTACATCCTGCTCAGGTGAGTAGTGAGTGGGTCTTCAAAGCTTGTGAGCAGTGTCTCCCCATCCACAGCAAAGAAGAGAGAAGAAACACAAAGACACAGGAAACAATTCGTCCCAAGACTAACGGACCACGAGAACCTCAGCATTGAAAAGCCTGAAATCAGAAGAACTAGATGGTGCCCGGCTACCACCACTGGCTACTCTGAGTGAGTCACAATAAGAGGTTCTGGATAGCCTGGGAGAGAAATATGGAACAAAAAACCTAAAATCATGAAAAAGATTTGGCCTATTGGCCTGATCGAAACTGGTAGAACCCCCAAGGCTATGGCCCTTAGACATCCTGCAGGCTTGTCATTGAACTCACCCCCAAGACTCAACTTTCAGCGAAATGGCAGGCAGGCCTCTACGTGAACAACAATACATTCACACACGAGATCAAAAGGGTGGCATTTGCCCAGGGAGAGTGCTGGCTCAGAAGGCAGGAAGGGATAGGGAAGAAAGATAAATGACACCGATGATAAGCACGTGGAGGAAGTGGGAAGAGAGCTGTTATCAAGGTCACAAAACAAAGTATGTATGAATTGTTGAATAGAAAACCAATTTGCTCTGTAAACTTTTACTCAAATCACACACACACACACAAATGTAAAAAACAGAGAGTGAAGGGTCTGTGGGAAAAAGGGACAATGAAGACAGACAGAGGGTCACTGCTTCTTATTTGACTCACAAAAAGACTTAAAAAATCAGCGACCACAAACTACCCTACTACCTGCTTATCGTCATTTCATTTAAGGTTTTGTTGCCAGCGAAACATTAAAGACATAGTCTCAAAACCAGTGCTTCCTTCGAGAAAACTCAGCTTTACAAATGACTGGAGGCATCTCACCCAAACCTCGTACTGCAGATAGTGAGATGTCTGTGCAGACTTTTGGGGACCACAAGCTAGGCCTAATGATGCCCACCTATACCCCTATCCTCCAGATTTAGGAATCTCCTTTTCCTCTGTCCCACACCCCTAGCACACCAGCCCAATAAGCCCTCTCTAGGA